CACCAGGCAAGAATATTTGCAGTCAAGCTGTATGAAAAAATAGCAAATGTTTAAATGGGTTTCTTAAGAGAGCCCTTCCTCTATACCTTGCTCTTACACATCAGCACAAGGCTCCTGTTTAGGATGCACTCTTGTTTAGAAATGTGTTTTGAAGATACATTGACTTGATATTCACATTCTTTATCCCACAACATGGCACATCTTGCACTATAGCACTGCAGTCTGGGAAACTCCCATGAACACAAAGCAGGGATCAGCTTTCTGATTCAGTAGTTGTGCAGTTGACGTACAGTTACACCCTCTGAGAGATTTCTTCGGAAAAATGACAAGTTTCGGCTGAAGTCCATACGAGCCACACATACGTCATTACTCATAATGCCGTACTGTGTATCATGATTGAGACATTTTTGATGTTAACTGCTACCTGGGATACTTTAAAAGTGCCCACCGCCTGAGTCATTCAAAGGAAAACTGCACTGTGGCATATGTGCAAACAGTGTGCATATTCATTAACAGATAAACTATCTCTTTTCAGATATAGAGACCAGTCCTTTCTCAGAAGTGTTGCAATTCTTAACAGGGCTGCATTTCTCAGGACAAACACTACCTTTATTAATTACAGTGTCTAAGGCAAAGCATATAGAAGTAATAGCAAAGTATGATGAATTGTGCCAGTACTGTCAAATTTCACCACACCTTTGCTTTCTGCAGGCGTGGAGCAAAGTGCCTCAGTACTATTTATACAGGAACCTCACCACACCCTCTGGCAACTCATAAGGTTTTAAATACTGCTAGAGTATGTCAGCAAGGATTGCTTGGCAAGGAAAGGCTTGCAAAGTTACTCGTAGGAGGTACACAATAGATAGCTATCTATCTACTCTGTTTCAAAATAAAGACACGTGTGTTCTCAACCAATGCTTTAAAGGGAAAAAAAGATACCCAGAGAACTAATCTCTCTTAAACTTAAAAACTATTTGAGATTTCAGGATGATACAAACTTAACCTACATAAAAATCTGTTACAGCACAACCCAAAATCTGTTATAACCAGTCAAGGTGAAGCATATACATTATTATTTTCTTTTAGTTGACAAGGGTAGGAAAAGCTCATGTCGCGCTCTCAATTACACAATGACAGAGGCATCACCCAGAGGAGAGTCCTCCTTAGCACAGAAAAGTTCATGTATCTAGTCACTCAACACCCTTCCTATTTTCTCAGTTTCTGTGCCCCTGTCCTCCTTACAGTTTTTAACTTTAAATCACACAGAAATTTAAAAAAAAATACATCAGACCTCCAAAGGGATTAAAATATTCCCAGATTTCAAAGTCCTTCTCCTCCCCATGCTTTTTGTATCTCCTAAAGTCCTTTTAAAGGTTTGGGGATATTTAAAATCCTTTCATTTTAAAATCTACTGGCCTGCTCTGGCTGAGCCAAAAACGTGAATAGAGTGCTCTGCTGGCTGAACCAGAAATTCTTCCTTCCCAAGTAAATAAACAGTGCTTATACCGGTAAAAAAATATTTGAAGATGTCAGGGAAACTGAACAGCTTTCCTTCAAACATCACTTTTTCTTTTGATCTACCTGAAATATAGAACACGATAGTTTCGAATTAAATCAGATTTGCGAGAGCTATGCAGAGTTGATAGCTAAAATAAGCTACCGATGAACATGAAAACCAGCCATGGAAAGTTGTATTCTAAAATACTGTGTGAAAGCAGAAGCTACCATTTTTCTGTGACAGAAAGTCTTTCTCTCAAGACCCTCAAGAGCCTTCATAGAGAACTTTATAATGTTCTGTTTAGACATCAAGCATTTCACCTACTCCTGAACGCAGGTGCTAATGAACAGAGCAACACACTGTGTAGGAAAGTCACAATGACTTGTGCTAAGTTACACTGAAACTAGAGGAAAACAAAATGCATTTATATAGCTGAGATCTGGCCAGGGCACTGATGTCCTGCCAGTATTTGTCCTGACCAAATGGAAACATGAATGACTACAGTGAAAGAGCCCACAGGTTTACTTCCCACAGGAAGGATACTATTAATACAAATATAAGTCTTCTAGTGTGCTGCTGTGTTAACTTAGTACAGAGTGGGAGTGAGAGTACCGCTGCTACTGAGACAGCAGTAGCACCACCCATTAAGTCGCATCCTCTGGTGGTGCTAATTTAAAAGGATATTGGAAAACATTATCAATCCACCATGTTGATTGAGCATATGTTGTCCTTTGAGATGAGTATAATTTTAGTTACTCAGTATGCTTGTTTTTTTTTTGCTGATGACCAGCCATGCCATTCAAAAGGTGTTTTAAAAAGGTAGCTTTAAAACCTTGTACAGAGGCACAAGCCTCTCATTCAGTCTAACCCAGCATTTCTGAGTAAACAGAACACAGCCACTTCTTGTAAAGCAGCAAGCAGTATTACAAGTTAGCAAATTAAATTCACCCCTGCTTTAAAACCAGAAAATCCACAGTAATTGCTGTAAGGGATGAAGTCTATCCAGTGTATCTATCACTCGTTCAACAACATGGCTAAATTTGCAAAGATTACTCAAATCATTTAGGCTTTGGAAATCACTTAAGGCCAATGTAAACAGATTACAACTTTCCCAGGCGCAATGGAAGCAATTAGTTCTGCAATGAACACCTCTCCTACACTATGCCACTCTCTGGAAAACGTAACAGATGCATCTAATTATAACTCACACTGAAACATGCTGGTTTTGTGTAGCTACAATTTCAAAAGACCCAAGGGGCAGGAAAACACCACCTGATTAAAGTCGTGAGGTTCCTCACAAGTAGGAAAGCAACTTTAACAAAGCTTTTGGTTCCGAAATTATATTGATGCAGAAGGTTCACCACTGGCAAGTGACTCTTTGCAGCTGTGCCCTCCTATGCCCTACACCAAATTTTGCAGGTACTCCCATGGCTCATTCCTCATTACAGGATCCTCTGTGCCAGCCACTGACCTAAACAAAAGTCCATGTTAAATGTATGCTCACAGATAGCAGGTCAGAAGAAAGCTCTCAGAAGGTAGTTTATGCCGAGGAGACAGACCTTGTGAGTGAGTCTTGCTCAGTGTCGAGGAGGCAGCCCTGGAGAGACAAGCAGCTCCTATCCAGGTTTTCAAGGTGGTTTTATCAAGGGTGCCAAGAGGTAAAGAATGAAATAAAGGGCAAGGGTAGGATTACACAGGGTGCTGTTACACAGCATTTCACTTAGCGGTCAGAGTGGGGATGGACAGTCTAATCTAAGACCCACACCAGGGTCTAGTGATGTTGCCACTGATAATAAAAACAAGGGTCTGGTGTCTGTTTCTCAATCTTCTCTGTCTCACAGTGACAACATTTCCCTGGTTTTACAGTCTTAGAAGCCTCCAAGATTAACAAAATTCATTTTTCTAAAACAGAAAACCACCAGGAGTGACAAATACTTTCTCAGTAGGAAACGGGCAATAGAAAAACTCACACATAAGAAGTCACTGTCTTTTCTCTGTCTGTCTGTTCCTCGGAAATAATTTCTATTAGACGAATCATAAAAGAAGTAGGTCAGCAACTGCCTCTTCTTTAAACTCTCCAAACTGCAAAAGAAAGGTCATTTAAAGCAGTACAGGTTCAAACTGTTACTAGCCTGTTGCCACAAAATTGTTTATAGAAACACTTCTGCAGTCAGTTTTGTAAGGTTCTTGTATCACTTCACATCCTACTCTGAGATGATTCAGTTCTTCCACAGGGATGTGGCCTTCAGGGCATAATAAATTGCACAGTCCTGAGTCACAAGAACCTTTGCAGAACTGGCCAGACACACTATAAATTCACCCTACCCTTCACGTGAACTGCAGAAACCTTGGAGACACCCAGAGCAGCAGTGTTCCTCCCTGCACAAAACAAGGTACTGTAATGATTTCTAGAGATTATTTATTTCATATACTCTTGGACGATGTTGCTTTGTTGACAAATGCATAGGAAAAAAGGAAGCAGGGATCTGAATTGGAAAAAACAAATGCTTGGGAAAGTAATTTACTGAGATGGTACAGGCATGGTCTAGAAGGTGAAAGTCTTAAAAATATACAGGAAGAGCAATTTATTGTACAGAGTTCTATAATTTCTAGAGCTCACTGGCTAGCATATATATCATAGCAGAGTAAGAACCACTGTATTTGCATAAATCAGCTAATTTGTTCCTGTGCTCTTCAGTTCTTACGAACGTCGGGTCAGCTCCTGGTTTGCAAGCTGCTCAGGACACGAACTGTCTTTATTCTAAGGCCATCCTATACCAACCAGAATAGCTCCTAGTCCCTGCCTAGAGCTCTCAGCTAAACCTGTAGTGCAAATGACAAATAGCAGCACTTGCGGTCTACCGAATATGGAGACCTTGTCCTGCAGAAGAACTGGGAAGCTAGGATCTGGGCTAGCACTGTAAAACAGAGTTTCAGGATGTTTTTGAAAGTCAAAAAGGGAATTCAGGATACTTAGCATGCAATAGTTGGGGCAGTGCTTGCCCAAGCATTGGAAGGAGTATTTTGTCCTGACCTAAAAGTATAGTTTGACTGTTACTGTTACCAGAGTATTTGTTCACTACAGCTATGAGCTTCAAAAGGGTCTTGCACAAATTGAAGCATAAAAGATGTCATAAGAGACAGTCGCTCAGTATCCTCTAGCCCAGGCACTGGTGAGTAACATTATCAACTGTCACTCCAAGATGCTGTAAAGGACAGTGCAATAAATGTCCTGGTGAGCAAATACAAAACAAGGTTGGAGGCTGCTTTTTCCCTAACCCAAACGACAGCTAGTGTCATCAGCGAAACAGGACAGGCTACACTTTATATGACTTTATAAGAGTTAATCCTCCTCATTCTTCATATAGATAAATACTTTTAGAAAGCTTTTAAAACACAAAAGAAACTTAAAAAACTGCAAAGAAACTTGTAGGCACATAGCAGTCATAATTAGCGATTCGCTAATAGCATCTTCTCACCCTTTCTGTGCAGGTTCAGAATAATGGAAGGTTTGAATAAAGCAAACACAAGTTTTGCTCTCGACTTTTTCAAACATGAGTGTCAGGAAGATGGTGACAAGAATATTTTGTTCTCCCCTTTGAGTATTTCATCTGCCCTGGCTACTGTTTATTTGGGAGCCAAAGGTAACACTGCAGATCAGATGGCAAAGGTGAGTCTGGGCTTCAAAAGGTAGCCGTTTGAAAGGGTTGATCTCTTGGAATAACATCCTCTATGCAAGAAATTTACTATGATGGAACAGAGGAAAGCCATAAGCAGAAAAATTACTCTAATCAAAACTCTACACACATATATGCCAGCTCCTGTTTCACCCCTGACGTGCGCTGCAATGAATAGACCAGGTCTCCACTTCTGCAGGTCAAAGAAATAGTCTACTCCAGTCTCTGGAAACAGGCCCCAACAAATAAAAGAAGTGGCACTGGTGACATTGTCTCCTTTTAAATCTCACCAGAAGAAATAAAGGATCTTTATCCCAAAGCTCAGTAACTTGAGCACTCACCAGGGAGTGGGAGACCTGGATTCTCCTTCTACTCTGCCACAGACAATTCCCATCTCACAGCTCATCTCTTTGGAAATGACCCCCCACAAAAAGACTCTCCCCTATAGCTGTTACAAGTTTTGCACTTTGCTAAACATAAATCCACATCCACAAGATCAGAGAAGAAACACAGTGAGACTACAACCCTTTCTTTGGGGTATACATTTTACAGGCAAAACCACTTACCGAAATCCCTAAGCCATATTTGTGCAAAGTTCATAGCTTCAGCAGGTGGCAGTGAGAACAGCCCCAATGCACAGTTATCTAGCTCCTGTCATAGGAGGTGAGGCTTGTGAGTTTGCATCTGCTAAGGCAGAAGCAGTTGTCCCACCTGCTAAGGCAGTGATCTAACTCCTGATTTACAGGACAAAAGAGGGCCAGCAGCATAAAAAAGAAAGGTGTGATTTTCTGCTTTCCTAGCAGAAAAAAGGGGAAGGGAAAAGAAAAAAATGGGCATAGCTCTTTTGAAAAATGTTCCAAGGTTGGACACACCCCTTTGTAGCTTGGGTAAGGTGCACATGCACAGAGCAAGGGATTTAGGGCATGAAACTGCCTCCATCGTTTTCACGCTTTCTGACACATAGCAGCACTCCATTTAGACTTTGATAGGCTCCATTTAGGCTTTGATAGTCTCCATCTGGAGATAACTGGCTCTTCCCAGGTATTAACTGCTCAGCCCACTCAGGCATAACTCAAAGCAGACAGATTCCTCTAGAAAAGCTAGCTACATGAGAGTTTTGCCCTGCAACCCTCAGCTTAGTGTGCTCATGCCATTTTGTAGATGTGGGCCTCAAGGCCTAACCAAAGATTTCATATTCAGTTAGGACTGAAGACAGGAATAAAATCTGAGTTTGACTCTCTTCATCACCAGTCCCATGACATCACTGAAAGATTTTACTAAAACAGCAAATCTTCTATAATTTCATTTATTATTGCTTTTTCCACTACAGGTACTTCACTTTAACAAAGCTGAAGGAGTCAGAAACGTCACCACAACCATAAAAATGCAAGTCTATTCCAGAACAGAAGAGCATCTATCAAATCGACATGCCTGTTTCCAGAAGGTATCTCTCCAAGTCTGGTGATCAAGCTATGGGCATGGTCACATCCTCTCTTGCTTGTATTTTCCTTCCACATTTGCATTTGCCTATGTTTGCCTTCCTCATATGTAGTGTACACAATTAATTGGTACAGCATCCTGTGATACCTTCATCTAATGCAATTCTTATTACATGCTTCCCTTTTTTAGGCAGAATTGCAAAAACTAACCTCAAATTTGCAAAATTTAAAATTTAATGTTACCATTCTCTGTCAATGTATCTCCTGATCTTCTTCCTTTAGCTTTGAGGAGAGATTTCTTTCTCAAATTATTCCTGTTCAATTGCTAACAAAAACATGTTCTTTGAACAGGCATGGTCCCTACCTCAGAGAGCTAATCACAAGAACAGAGCTGCCCTCCCACACATTTGATTGCAGTATCAAGACAATAAAAAACAGAGTATTAACTTTTCCAGGTTACCTATGCTTGGCAGGTAGCCTTCTTCAGAAATTAGTCTCCATTTCAGTTGACTAGTTAACAAAATAAATTGACATGTTGGAATTTCCCAAGGTAGACAAGTCGCTTGCAATAAATCTTAGAGACATGGAAATCATTATATTCCTGAGATATTTCTTTGACATACTGACAGGCATCTTGTACCAAAGTATACGTAATTTAAGATAGCAGAAAAATACGGAAAAGCAAACGTATTCCCTCTGAGTCAGAAAAAGAAGGTTTTCCTCATTGACAATTCAACCATGGTGGCGTCAAACTCTTCTCCCTGCTCTTTCCCGTCATCCTTATTCTTTGTGGGAGTGAGCCATTTCCCTGCAGGCTGCCCACAAAGCCCCAGTGGCCGCAAGTTCTGATGAATGGGAACTTGGATCTGCATTCCACAGCCAAGTCCTATGGCAGAAAGATTTATTTTAGGGGCTATGTCAACAACTCATTTGCACTGCATGAACAGGAGAGGGATTGTTCCTCATGAGTAATGCTTGTCTGAATTATAAGAATTACAGAGCGCTGTGGGTAGGGCAAAGGGACCGTTCCAACAGTTTAGAAAGTTAAGTGTTGCTTAAAAATTTCTGTTCATGCCTCTGATTCTGAGGTAATGACAAGATGAACACAGCACAGATTTTTAGTTTACTAATTTACAGCTTAACTTCCTTGAGCTCATTTGAGAGTTTGAGCGCACATTCATTTAATCCTGTTACTTCAAGATAACAAATTTACTGCAATTACTGGAACATTAAAAAATATTACAAAATATTAACATTAAGAGCAAGATTAAGAAATTTAGGGGCAAACTTTCCATGTAACGCCCTCAACTTTCATAAATGAAAGGAGTCACACAGCCAGATCTCCATGCATTGTTTAACAATTACATTCTGTCTCTCACTCTCTGGATATACTTAGTTTCACAATCTCTACTTAGAAATCCTTAGATGTTTTACATAGTTCAGGCTCTTACCACTTGCATTCTGAGACACTTACAGTGTCTATACCATGACTGCAACTTTTAATACTTTCAAATAATTCTTTTAATAGCTGTCTGGTTTAGAACACCTCTTGTGTTGCAATACAGGCAACAGATCACCTCAATAGAAATACTTTACCTGGAGCTGCATGAATGAAGAAATTAGAAATTTTGAACTGTTTTACACAACAGATGAGTAACTTTTTTTTCCTTTTCTCCAAGACAGAAATTGGCAAATCAGATAATATACATACTGGGTTTAAAACACTCAACTTTGAAATCAATCAACCCACTAAAAATTACCTGCTTAAAAGTGTCAACCAGTTATATGGAGAAAAAACATTGCCTTTCAGTAAGGTAGGTAGGCCATTTATTCAGATTATGTAGTGCCATTTAACCTTTATGATCTATCTATGACAACATACCATAAACTATATGCTTTTAAATATTTTAATTACATCTGCAAATCATGTTGTTATCCTTAACATAAATATTTTCTATAAGACCGTTCCTGAGACTTTGGACACTAAAATTTTGGTTTTATGGGATGTGTATCTAATTTCACAGCGATTTGCAGATGTGGCTAGGTGCAAACATTTAAATTGAGTACTTCCACTAAAAAATACTTTGTTCCTTTGACAAAATGCTGTGCTGGTACTCTATGTCATTTGTATCATGTTTTCTCTCTATTTCGCTATAGTTATTTATTAGCATTCATATTGGCAGGCAACAAACATAAGACAGCTGTCTCTCTTGCACTGCAGGAATACTTACAGTTAGCCAAGAAATACTACAATGCAGAGCCACAATCAGTTGACTTTGTGGGAGCAGCAGATGAAATCAGAAGAGAGATCAATTCCAGGGTTGAACACCAGACTGAAGGTAAGCTCCTGCCTCTCCTCTCCTAATTCAAAAAGAAACCATTTCGGCATTGAGCAAAGTCTCTGTACCCAAGGAGCCCAAGGCAGGTAAACAATTCACCTCAGAAAGGTAAATCAGATCAGTTTTCCTAAAGCAGTCATCCACTGACAAGCCCTTACTAAAATTAGTATCCTCCATCTGAAGATGCAAGGAATGTGGCTTACTCTTTATAAATCAAGGTTACCCCAGTAATCACTTATTTACGAATAATCTCAAGCTAGAAGCATACTGTATCAGCACTTACAATTTCCCTGGCTTATATCTGCAGAAACTGTGCCAACACTTACTCTGAAACAGTAAAACTGCACAAATGTGGAAATGTCCTTCTCTTTTCTCTAGGTAAAATCCAAAATCTGCTGCCTCCTGGATCCGTAGATTCGCTCACCAGGCTAGTCCTGATAAATGCGCTCTACTTCAAAGGAAAATGGGCAACAAAGTTCAAAGCTGAAGCTACCAGGCAAAGGCCTTTCAGAATAAACACGGTATGGGAATATACTGACCTATATGCTAGACTGCAGGTGGAAAAAGCAGTGAAAAAGACGAGGGAGAGAAATTCCCATCAGTCTTTAAATCCACATGAAATCCAGCATGAAAGTTATTTCATTTAATGCATACAGCATATTTTCTTCACCACATCTTCAGCACAAAGACTGCACACACATACTAGCACCTGAGTCACAAGTAAAATTGTCAGAAGCTGACTTGAAACATGCTTCTGTTCTCTGAAGGCAGAGAAAACAAAGAGGTGAACAAAACTGTATGGGTTAGTTCTTTACATTTTCATTTTCAACCATACGGCAAATCAGAGTGGAATACAGCTTCCTGTAATAGGTGTCATCTGAGACAGCTTAGATAGCCTGCCTAGCCTCCAATGCCTTTCCAGAAGACCAGAGGTCCTCCGTAGATCCTGTGTCCTACCACTTAGAACCATAAGGATGTCTCAGACACACTGGGCAGCTTGTACAGTAAATACAACAAAATTCCACTGTGCTACTTTAACTCAGTCCTTTACTGTTCAGAGTACAAATGGCAAACATCTAATTCAATTTGTTGCAGCATAAAACTAAACCAGTGCCAATGATGTACCTGAGTGATAAATGTAACTGGACCTACGTAGAATCAGTCCAGACTGACGTTCTTGAGCTTCCATACGTCAATAATGACCTCAGCATGTTTATCCTGCTACCAAGTGACGTCACCAGCCTACAAAAGGTAAAGCAACTGAGAACATAAATCATGTGAAAAAACAAGAGTGTCATTATTTACTTATTTTATGCATGTGCAAGGTAAAAGACCAAGTTGCAGTCATGTTTCTAGGAAGGAGGGTACTGATTAGGCTCAAGGAAAAGCAAACCTCAAACTTGTTCTAGCACTGTGAACTTGAACCTCTTGGAGCTCAGACTAGATTTCTTACTCTTGGCAGCTGTCACTTCTGTGGTTCCTAATGTTGATCAGTCCTGGAAATAGGTAACCCCAACCCTACAAGACTGGCTCTTCTTCCAGCTGAACAAAAATGAGGACAGAAAGCCAGCCCTGCTGAGATTCACTGTCTGTACCAATTCAGACAGATATGATTTCATTCAAAAAAAAAAAAAACACCCACAAATTGGACAGCCTCCATTACTTTCCAGGAAGTCCAGAGCTAATACATATGGATACTGCCACCTTCTGTAAAGAGATGGATCCTGCCTTTGGATGATAAACTTCTTAAATTTGCATTTACGTTAGTGGGTGTTCTGTAGAAAAAAAAGCTCTTTTCAGTAAATTGTAAAATGTAGGGAAGACAGAAATGTGAACAGCAAATCAACCAGACTATTGCTACTTGACACTGATGTTTTTGTTCTACAACTATTTAGCCCTGCTATATTCCCTGACAATTACTGAGAACAGTTCAAATACTTCATTGACCTACTGTAGAGCAACATACTTCTTTAGTCAAAAAGATCTCCAAATTTGTCCTTCACTACTGTTTTGTTTGGTTTTTTTTTTTTTTTTTGTACTCTTACAATAGCTTGAAAAGTTCTCCATTTAAGAAAAGAGAAGAAATAGCCCTTAGGGCACAGGTTTTTGAACACTCTGTAATTTTCTGATTCTCTTTTTACTAACTGCAGCTAGAAAGAGAATTGACTTTTGAAAACTTGTCTGCATGGACCAGCCCAGAATTAATGGAGAAAATGAAAATGGAGGTTTATCTGCCCAGATTCATTTTAGAAGAGAAATACGACCTGAAATCTACTTTGAGCAGGATGGGGATACAGGATGCCTTCACGGAAGGTCAAGCTGATTTCACAGGAATGTCAGAGAACGGCGAGCTGTTTTTGTCACAAGTTTTTCACAAGTGTTATCTGGAAGTTAATGAAGAAGGCACAGAGGCAGCAGCTGCCAGTTCTGCAGCACTGGCATCACGAAGTCTTGGTGCTACTGTTATTTTTGTAGCAGATCACCCCTTCCTCTTCTTTATCAGGCACAACAAGACCAAGAGTATCCTCTTCTTGGGAAGGTTCTCTTCCCCCTAGAAATTAGACCGTTACTAAACAGGCCCTCGCAACAACAATAATGAATAAAATATACACCACAAAAAGCATCTCAATAGTCTGTGCGCTACTTCTTCGTTTTCCTGTACTGTTGACAAATCTCTCAATGTTAGAAGAGAGCACATATTAAAAATAACATGGAATGCAAGCCTCTGGCTCATTTTCCTAGTCAAAGAACCCAAAAATGGTTAGCACTACACTGTAAGTACCGAACTGTGCACAGAACAACATTGATGCGTCTTTTCAGTGCTTTCTGAACCAGAACTGCCACAACACAGAATAGACTAAGTTGATCTAAAACAGTAATTCCCAACACACTTGCTTTGGTATATAAGAAAAGAAACAGGGAAAACTCCTTCCTGCAGAACGCTGCTGCATCTCCATTGGTTTCAGCTCGCTAAGCTGGTCATCCCAGGAGGGCTACCTCACCCACATTCTTGTCAGTTTTATACCAGCTTTGCAGCCTGGCACAGATGGTAATGAAATAAACCCACAAAATCCTCTGTGTTCCTGATACCGGTGCTTCTTTCGTGCATGCAAAGGGGCTAACACATGTACTTTCTAATCTCTGTCCCACAGCAACTGGAAAATATCGAACAACAATATAGAATTGGAGGAAAATAAAACATATGTGCCTTGAAACCTTCTCCTTTGTAACCTTTCATGCATTCAACACTGTTGCCAGCCCAGCATTGCATTGCTTTACTCTCATTTTGCTTTCTCGCTTATTTCACTGGTTTGAGGCAAGATCAAATTGGAGAATCAAGCCCGTAATACTAACTCCTTAAGTACCTTCTGGAAAATTACATGCAAATCTCCCAGTACACATTTACTCCTGTCACAGCTCTTTCTCCTAAGGAGGAGAGTGTGCTAATCAGTCATGCACATTTGCAGGGGATGCTCCTAACTCTCTGAATTCAGAACAGAGAGCAAAGGACTGGGTCTCTTACAGGACACACCACCAGCATCTTACTAGAAATCTCTTCTTGGGACAGCAGAATTCCTTTTTCCTGACAGAAAGGAGACTGTTGACTGTCACTGAATCCTTTCTGTTTTCTTCCATGTGACCAGCTGCTTCCAGAGTCCCTTCTGGCTCTGCTTCCCAAATGGGAAGGAACGTAGGAAAAGTGTTGTGAAGGAAGTGCTTTATTGTATCCCTGTACAACCTCAACAGCACTGCCTTCTCTCTGACTCAGCTGTGAAACATGACACAGGATCCCTGTGGATTCAGGTGCAATTCTGCCATGCCCTGCTTCACCTAATGCAAGGGCTTAACACGTCCCCATGGCCAAGTGCCTTAAGCACTTCCTGATGTGCCTCAGGAATAAAAACAGGAAAGCCACGCCTGGGAGGCCAACGAGGACCAAAACCGTGACAACATGCACCCGAACTCACTCACAGGCCTTTAAAGTCAATGGAAATGTGAGTCACCTTTTCTCTCTCCTTCAACTATTTTAAGCATGATTGCAAAGATGACAGTTAATGTCCCTTGGCAGTGCCAGATCATTACCAAGTGGCAATGGCCAGAACGCTGGAAAGGTGAGTTGCACATTAGGGAACAACCTTTTCCCAGGGTGAGCAGCTCAGCACTGGAGAAGGTTGCTCAGAGAGGTTGGGGAATCTCCATCCTCAGAAGGGCTGTGGCTGACCTTATCTACTGATGGCCCTGCTCCAAGCAGGAGGTTGACCTCTGGACGTCCCTTTCAAATAACGTGTGATTTTCTCTCTCTTGTCAACAGCCATTCTGCCTTGCCACCTCCCTTTCTCATCCTGCCTGGCATCTTTGCATCTTGACTAGCAAAGGGAGCTAGCTTGCTCACTCTCAGCATACTTCTTTGGGACTTGGAGTCTCCTGGCTTGGGCTTTCCCATCACCTAACCATTCAGCCGACCCTTCTTCTATCCTGATTTCTTGAGGACTGACTTACTCACTCATCGTACTAAAACCAACACTTGTTTAATTTCTGGCATTTCTTCATTGCCTTGCACAACATTGATTTCTGCCACTTTTGAGAAGACTTGATCCACTCTGTTCCTGTAATCAGGCTTGCAGCAAAATGCTTAGCACACAGTACAGTTTCCTTCCCTTCCTCCATTCCCCTTCCCCTGTCCCCCAGGGTCTTACAGTTGTTGCTGCCACCTTCTCCTTCTATCACCCAACAGCAGCCCGGCTCTCTTCTGGGACTACAGTGACAACTACTGTGCCATGCTTGCCCCCATTGTAGTTTTCCACTCCATCTTTGCTCGAGCCCTCCCAGTTGGGTTGTTTCAGTCCTCGCCCTCCTTCACTACATGCAAGTACTGTGCACTAACTCAGTGTTTTGCAGTGTTTCTCTCAAATGATTCCCAGCCATGGTTGCAATGAGATTTCTTCACCAACACAACCAGTGGGGTGTCCACCTTACTCTGAATGGTCCTTCATGACTCTGCCTCTGTCTATGCTCCTAATGATCTTCAATCTGAAGCTGGACTCCCAGTGTCTAATTCAATCACTAAGCTTGACATTTTATGATTACGTACCACATTTGAAACCCAGGAATCACAGCTGCACAAAGCTGGAGAGGAGAATCAGGCCTACAATATCTGCTTATATCCAGAAACAAAAACCAAGCATTCTAGTTGTGTAACCTTTTTACTAGTCATTTATTTTAAACAACAGACCAGTTGTCTCCACAACACCAGAAAACCATTGGAATGGGTGAACTGTTCTGCTATCCTGTCAGTAGACTATTGTGGTGTAACAATAGAGCTGAGATTTTAATTCCATTGTCCTTTCAAAATGTCTAAAACTGAAAAGTGACAAGGTCAACATGGAGGACAAAATTACACAAGATCTTTTGGGGATTTGGTAGAAAGGAGCTTTGGGTAGGCGGAAACAACCTGGATGTAGGGGAGAAGGAAAGGGAGGTGCAAGCAGTACTATATTTCCAAATTTATTCGTTGCTTAACACACAAACGCAGAACCTGACCGAGGACAAGCCCTAAGTTTTCTCTCTCACGGGATCAGAGGTAAATATTTAAACCAATTTAAGTAACTTTTCTGATGCTTTTAAAAAGTGATCTGTGGCTTGCATGACTGTATAGGTAAATTATAATATACCAGTGTTATAGTGCATTATTCTTGCCTCATGTTTTTCTAGATGTCAACCCTTAGAGAAAATAAATCTGTGAGGCTAAGGAAAACTGTTAATTTGGGGCAGAATTGATCACAAGAAGGAAAATTTTCTTAGGGCAGTAACCGCCTTATTAATTAAAATCTTCAGTTTGGTAAAGGAGTTCCAGACTTCAGGTGAAGAAAAGGCCATTTTCATTCCGCAAAGGCACTGCACTGCACATTATCAGGCCAGGGACTCAGAGGAGTATTCATTAGCGGAAAACAGAAATTTCCATCCGGATGCTCTCTTGGTTGCATTCTCCAAGGAAAAAAAATCACTCTGCGGTACAGATTTGGTTTGCCCCACAATTTCTGTAGCTCCATTCCATAGTTATAAATCTTAATAATAATAATAATGACAATAACAACAACAACAACATTTCTGGTCTCTTGGCTGGAAAACAACATGAGGCAGGTACTACCGGGCAGATATCTTAAAGTCTGGAATACTCATAACCTCAAGGAATCTGCCAGTTTCTGGGGAAAATAAAATTGCTGGAATATACAGAAGGGGTGGTAGGCACACATCATGGATAAAACTCCATCAATCTAAAAGCAAATAACAGCTTTGCTATTCATGATACTACTCAGAATAGGTGGCTGGCCAGGAAAAGCACACGAGCCTAAGAATTATGCCTGAATTCTTTCTCAGCATCAGCTCTCAGTTCTATACAGATCCAAAATGAAGTAGTGGGAAACTCAGGCATGTTGTGAACCTATGTACTAAAACTGCATTTAAATTCCCCTGGGAACATTACTTTGATAAATCATTAGCTAAGGACAAAAAGGAAGAAATATATGCAGCTTACAAATCTGCACATTTTTGAAAACCAAAGGCAGGAAGAAACACAAAGAAAACTGCAGCTGTATAAAAGAGGACATAGGTACAATTATAGGAAAATATTATCTGGATAACAAAAAACCTAAAAGAAATTGCTGCTCCTAACAGGTGGCAAACAGTATCTGTGTGGAAGATAAAACATACAACTAGGCTATTAGGCTTAGTGGGTGCCAATGCATTGTGTTGCACATGTAACATTTCTCACTAATATGCACTGTGTACATAATTTTAAACATTCAACTAGTACAATTCTGTCTGTTGCCTCTTTCCAGGTTGTAGCAATGGAAGTGGTCTCCACATCAGTTGGCAAGTTTACAATTGACTTTTTCAACAAGATGAATGAGACCAACAAGGGCAAAAACATTTTCTTTTCCCCTTGGAGCATATCATCTGCTCTGGCTCTGACGTACCTGGGTGCAAAAGGCAATACAGCAAGAGAGATGGCAGAGGTAGGTTTCTCTATGAAGCATATACCCCATACAGTACCTGGCTCCTGTATTGGCTGCAAAATTTAGTGTTAGATAGAAAAACTTGCCACCACAATGACAAGGAACCAAGGCAGACCAGAGAATGTAACAAGTGAATGATAAATTTTATTCATTTCATAGCAGGTCCACCACTTCTCCACTAAGAAGAATTGTCCTGTGGGTATCACATGCTGAGCACAGAGGTTCTCTGAACCTGACTTCTTCTAAATTATTCTACACCTTCTAATTTATCCTGTGATTCTATGATTCTGTCACAGATGGCATATTCCCTTTGAGAAGCAAACAGCTGATGCCAGTAGGTCCTAGCTAATTGGCAGGAGGCTTGCAGATCCCAGCACCCTCCCTCTCTCCCCTGGCCAGGATGCATCTTTCTATCTTGATTTATGCTTTCCTAAACAACTGCCTGACAATCCAGCAGGAAAATAGGAAGGGCTTTGGTATCTCCACAACGCCTGACACAATCCTTCCCAATGCCACACGGGCACATTGCTGGCTCAAAGGGAGCTGTGGTGCTCAGCACTGCCCAGCACTCTCTTCTGTGTCACCGCACTCCTGTTCAGATGCCTTTGTACCATTATCGTGGGGAGAACCATTTGGGTTTGCACAAACACATTGCTATTGCTGAAAGCAACAGCTGTGGAAGGGAGTTCAGCCTTGCAGCATGCAAACAGGAGCACTACGTTGATGCTCTGGGAGGGGGACAATGCTACTCATTGTTACTCTGGGATTTACATATACTACAGCTTCAGCATCCATTTGATTAGTCACCTAAGCAGCAGATAGCACAGTGAGTTATCATACGGAGCAAAACAAGACAACCATTTGATCCTCGTTTGGCTTTAAGTCACACCAGTTCCTTCATGCCTATTTCTTACCTTTGGAAACTCTGCTTGCAGGTTCTTTATTTCACTCAAACATCAGGAGCTGAAGGCTCTTCTTCTGTGGCCAGACCATCTCGGGGGAGACCAAAGAGAAGAAAAATGGTATCTATTAGAACTGAAATCCCAAGATAAAGAATCTCCAGAACAAAAATGTCCAGATACAGCTTTAGGCGTCCGGTATTTCTTGTCTGCACCCCTCTTTAAAGGGTGAACTTAACAGGTTCAAGTTCAGTTCCTTTCACTCACTCAGACTCTGAGAAGCATGGAAGGACAAGTCACTGGGATAGTCTGGAAGGTTTGCTATATGGCAAATCAGTTAATAGAGTCATAAACAGAGCCCTGCAAACTGCAGTGATGGTAAACTTGGAAAAATAAAAAGTAAGAGAGAGGAACCCAAATCCATCTCCCACATACATTACTTAGCATGTTTTGAAAACTTCATGCAAAAATGCAATTGCTGAATGTATGGTTTCTCTTTCCAAGGATCCTGAGCACAAGCAAGCTGAAGATATTCATTCTGGCTTCAAAGAGCTCCTGACTGTCATCAACAAACCCAGAAGCACCTACTCGCTGAGAAGTGCCAACCGCATTTACGTGGAAAAAACCTTCCCATTATTGCCTGTAAGTTAAATCTCAGAGACAGGTAAGAAGAGGTGCAAAAAATATTTCTCATTTTAATTACTTGTCATTAATAGAACAGGTTTGAAGCTGACCCTGAATACTGCAAATGAAGAGCCCTGGATTCCAGTGATAAACTTAACTGGAAAATACCAGTCGGTCTGCTCATAGTATTTAAGGATGCATTGCCCTTTGACTGTAGTGTAGGGATTCCTTTTCATGCAATATGGCTTTATTATTGCAACCCCCAATATATACAACTGTAAATGAGACATTAAAATAAGCACATCCATGGGATGTGCACAGCCTTCCTCACTTCTCCAAATAAAAGTGGGGGAAAAAAAGAAGGGAATTTTCTGTCCTTTGGTTACTTCTTAACTGTTAACTCACAGTCCAACAGAGAGTAACAAGCAAGATCCTGCAGTCCTCTAGGCCCAAGAAGCTATCAAAAAGTCCAAGAACTAACAACTTCCCTTAGGGACTGGAAAATCCAGTATAGTATAGAACTTATTTCTTTTTTTTTTTCTATTTCTATTTTTCAGAGATACATACAGCTCAGTAAGAACTACTACAAAGGAGAGCCACAAAAGGTTAACTTTAAGACAGCACCGGAGCAAGCCAGAAAGGAAATCAACACTTGGGTTGAAAAACAAACTGAGGGTAAGCTGCGCTCAACCCCAACATCTTTCCTCTCCTATTAAGTCAGCCTGCCATTTCCTTTGGGCAGGTGGCCTTGCTTCCCCACGTGCTACTGCAGCAGCTAGGTCATGCCTTCCGATGTGGACAGTGAGCAGAGGTGCAGTGGGAGGACAGAGAAAGAGCAGCACACTTACGCAGCTTCAAATACCCGATCCAGACCTCAGTGAGCTCCTTGGGGAGACTCCCATCGACGCCGCTGTGCTCTGCATCAGCTGGTCCTCAAGCACAACTGCTGCCCTGGTGCTGCACCCATGCACCACAGGCAGAGCAGACAGAGGGGAGAAACACCTCTGCCTACCAGGTTTAGTCCACACCTTGGAGATGCCTACCTAGCTGTACCATCCTGCACTGGCCAGACCTGCTGGCCTCCTTTTACCTGGCATAACCAGCTGGCGAGGCAGTATGCGGCTTTCTGCTTCTAGCTGCTTGCCATGAAGCTGTGACATTTTGGGAGGGGGGAGTCAATCCCTGTCAGCTAGCCAAGGAGAACGAGGCAGCAAACAGATTTGGAAACTGTAAACAAACTAATTGATTTATGTCAGGGGAGTATTTTAGGGAGTAGGGCACTGAGGCATGGACTTTTCACTAAGGAGTTGAACTGAGAGAAAAAAACAATCAAAACATCCTCACTGTGCTACACTGGAATGAAACCTGACTCTTCTGATTTCAAAAGGCAAAATCAAGAATTTGCTGGGTTCAGAAGATGTGGGAAGCCTCACCAGTCTGATCCTGGTAAATGCCATTTACTTCAAGGCAGACTGGGAAGTGAAATTTCAGGCAAACAATACGGAGGTGCAACCCTTCAGACTAAGCAAGGTAAGCTTCTCCGGTATCCTTCTTACTGTAAACAGCCTGGTGACAACAGCTACTGCTGAAATCTCTCCATTTCGTAAGTCTTTTAAGTACCCCTGTGGTAACTAGACTCTCTGTGAAAAGCTGCTTACAGCAGCACTGGTGAGGCCACACCTCAAATACTGTGTTCAGTTTTGGGCCCCTCTCTACACGAAGGATGTTGAGATGTTGGAACGTGTCCAGAGAAGGACAACGAGGCTGGTGAATGGTCTGGAGAACAAGTCTTATGAGGAGCGGCTGAGGGAGCTGGGGTTGTTTAGCCTGGAGAAAAGGAGGCTGAGGGGAGACCTCATCGCTCTCTACAACTACCTGAAAGGAGGGTGTAGCGAGGTGGGTGTCGTTCTCTTGGCCCAAGTAACAAGCGATAGGACGAGAGGAAATGGCCTCAAGTTGCACCAGGGGAGGTTTAGATTGGACATGAGGAAAAGTTTCTTTACTGAAAGAGTGGTTAAGCATTGGACCAGGCTGCCCAGGGAAGTGATTAAGTCACCATCCCTGGAAGTATTTAAAAGACGTGTAGATGAGGCGCTTAGGGACATGGTTTAGTGGGCATGGTGGTGTTGGGTTGACGGTTGGACTCGCTGATCTTAGAGGTCTCTTCCAACCTTAATGATTCTATGATTCTAAAATCTGTCAGTGCTCAGCTCACTGGAACATTAAGATGCTGCTCAGGTAAATGCTAATGAGGCCCAGATAACAGCTACCGTTTCCAAAAGCACTAGAGTCACTTAAGACCCTTTTGTAAAATAGTGCTAAAAGGGCTAGATTGTAAAAACATGATTTTGAGAGTCCAAGCCTACATGCCATGTCATGGGTGACTACGGTGCCTGGGCCTCTGTGCTGTGCAGCCTAGCTAGGCACAAATATAGCTGCTCAAATAAATACAGCTGCAACTGGGTACCCTGAATGGGTGCATGGTTGGGCAAGACTGGAAGAAATGTTAATGGCATGTATCCAGAAGAGATGTCAATGAATTCACATCAAAAGACAAGACCTCTGTGCAATTTCCACCAACTGTAGCTTCTGCCTTCTGATTAGCATGTATACATAGGCTGCTTCCCTGAATGAAAGGACACAGATGTTAAGAGTTCTGCAAAGGTGACTGCTTGCCAGGAACTCCCCTGAGCAAGGGGCCCCTTTGCTCAGACCTTAGTGTTATCTTCTGTCAAGTGTTGCGACATAAAAAGCAATCAGCTAGTCACTTTTTATTGCCAGAGAGAGATCACCAAAAAACTGCACAACACTCGTCCTCTTAAACCATAGCTGTTTCTCTGCCATAGCGTTGCAAGACCATATCCCATACCTGCTCCATCCCCCTAATCCTTGCAGACATTTCTAACTCTCTTCCTCCCTCCTCTGTGGGCTGCTGTGCATATTTTGGGGAGAAGTGAAAAATCAGTCAGTTCAGCCCCCAACAAACTGCTCTGGGACAAACACCGAGATAAGCAATACTGTCCAGTCAAGAAAAGCTTTAGAAAATTAAGGACAAATCACTGTTATAAAAGCTGCTTACAAAAGTTTCCTCTCCCTCCACTGCACTGAGTCATCATCATCCTTCCTTTCAAGGAATGATTTCTTACTTATAAATAAATACTTTACAGAACAAGACCAAGCCTGTGAAGATGATGTACATGAGACATACATTTCCAGTTCTCATCATGGAAACAATGAATTTCAAAATGATTGAGCTGCCGTATGTACAACACGAACTCAGTATGTTCATCCTCCTTCCCAATGACATCAAAGACAGCACTACAGGTCTTGAACAGGTAAAAAAGTATGCTACGTCCATTTTGTATCACCACCCAGTCATTAAAAAAAAAAAGGACAGTCTGGAGACCATATCTCCCCCTCTGAGGACATGCTGTTTGATTTCCTCCACTAGCTGAATTAATTTCCTTTAATACCTGTCTAATCCCAAGAAAGTTCCTCCACACTGAGTGCCCTTAGTTTAGTAAGAACTGAAGACAGTCAACACTGTGCATAATCAGATGCTTAGCTCTTCAACAGCCCCATGACTGACACCCATTCCTACATGATCTGTAAGGGTAAATCTCCCTTCACTGCACATTCAGGAGGGACAGTACTGCACAAGTAGTCACAGCCTCTTCCTGAGATAATAGACACCTCTTCTCCATGGCCTGGAAGTCCACACACACATTTGTTTGCTGTCTGAAAAACTAGGATTTTGGTGAGACTGCATTTGCTACAATAATGAGATCTGCCACCATAGCTACTACAATTGCAAGACTGTTAAATTCTTGGCATCTGTCATGTCAAGAATACTATTCACTGCTCTCCTCCATTTGATCTGAGCTGAACCCTGATGACATCAGAACTAGTGTGGCCAGCAGGAGCAGGGAAGTGATAGTGCCCCTGTACTCGGCACTGGTGCGGCCGCACCTCGAATACTGTGTTCAGTTTTGGGCCCCTCACTACAAGAAGGGTGTTGAGATGTTGGAACGTGTCCAGAGAAGGGCAACGAGGCTGGTGAGGGGTCTGGAGAACAAGTCTTATGAGGAGCGGCTGAGGGAGCTGGGGTTGTTTAGCCTGGAGAAAAGGAGGCTGAGGGGAGACCTCATTGCTCTCTACAACTACCTGAAAGGAGGTTGTAGCGAGGTGGGTGTTGGTCTCTTCTCCCAAGTAACTGGCGAAAGGACGAGAGGAAATGGCCTCAAGTTGCGCCAGGGGAGGTTTAGATTGGATGTAAGGAAAAATTTCTTTACTGAAAGAGTAGTTAAACATTGGAACAGGCTGCCCAGGGAAGTGGTTGAGTCACCATCCCTGGAAGTATTTAAAAGACGGGTAGATGAGGCGCTTAGGGACATGGTTTAGTGGGCATGGTGTTGTTGGGTTGATGGTTGGACTCGATGATCTTGGAGGTCTCTTCCAACCTTAATGATTCTATGATTCTATGATTCTATGACATAGTGCACAGGACATGGAATGGCAGTGAAAGAGTTTGCTGGAAGCAGTTTGTTTTAAAATTGCCAAGGAAACATGTGCAATATTAACACCTGTTTCTATGGAACTGGACCAAACCACCTGCCGCACAGCTGGCAATCTCCCAGCAATTTCTTTCACATCAAGACTGAATTAAAAGAGAGGAAAGAACTACCTCAGGGGATGCCAGCTGCAGGTGTTGACTGCCCTGTCTTTCTTTTGCAATGAATTTGGCAGGGGTGGTGCTCAAAACCTTGCAGCATTAAGTCTCAAATGTTTGTTGCACACCCCGCCTCTGATCATCAGTAAAACCAATTTATATTTCATGCATTCAGCTAAATGTTAAATTCGCCATTTAAAAACTTTAATTCATTAAATTGCCATATAAATGATTAATTCATAATTATTTTCCTTGCAAACATCAAATTCCTTCTCTTTCTTAAATGTAGCTGGAAAGAGAACTGACATATGAGAAACTGTCTGAATGGACTGATTCCAAGATGACCGAAACTCTGGTGGATCTGTACCTACCTAAGTTCAAAATGGAGGAGAAATATGATCTCAGTGATAAACTGATCAGCATGGGAATGCGTAGTGCCTTCAGCAACGATGCTGATTTCAGTGGGATGGCTGAGGATGCTGGAATCCAGATCTCCAAAGTTTTACACAAGTCTTTTGTTGCAGTTGATGAGAAAGGCACTGAGGCAGCTGCTGCTACTGCTGTAATTACAAGATGTACAAGCCTACCTGTTAGCCATGTTCTGAAATTTAAGGTTGACCATCCTTTCCACTTCTTCATCAGACACAACAAATCCAAGAGCATCCTCTTTTTTGGCAGATTCTGCTCTCCCCTAGAATGAGTTATTACTTGCTCCCAGGCAGCAGCCAAGGTTCACTGTTCAATAGAAAAATGTGAACTGCAGTGTTAAAAGCTCAACCTTAAGCCATGTAGCCATACGTACTGAAAGTGTATGTCCTTTTTCTCCCCCCACCCCCCCAAGTAAGGCAGCACTCAGAGACCACCCTGTGCCTCTAAGACCATCCCTCTACTGCTCCTTTCCATTGCCCTAATGAGACAGCCCTCCACAGAAAACAGAGTGAAGAATTTTGCTCCCTTGCATCAAACCGGCTCTTCTGGCTTTGTTGTTTGAGAGTAAGGTGGAGCCATAAAAGCCCTCTGCACACAGGCCATCATCCAGCCCCATGCCAAGTGCTGACTTCAAGGGAAATACAGTTCATCCTCCTGAATCTCCCAGAGAGGAAAAAAATCCCTGAAAGAAAAAAAAAGAACTTGTAGAAATCTGTATGCTCTCTTTTCCTCACTGGGAAACCTGCATTTGCATTACAATGCAGTTTCCTTATGTTCATTTCAAATTTAAAGATTGTTGGGAATTAACAAAATTTAATACAAACCCAGAATAATCTCAAAATGCCCCTCACCTTCCCCTGTCTCACCGCGTGTATGCAGACACATTACATTCATTCTCTCCTGACTTTGCAGCTTCATGAAAAAATGAGGCAGCAAGGGAAAATGGTCCAGCCCTTAACATTTAATCACTGCCTTCTAATCACCTTGCATTTTTTCCTCGTTTTTCTAAACTTTGTAGGTTAAGGTTACTGAGTGTTCCAATCAGCAAAAATGCTAAGAAAACTATGAGCAACATGCTTCTTGCTACCTCTTATTGATATGCAATCTAAAACCTCCAGAATTCAAATCTGCTTCCTCTTTTTAATTTAGCTTAATTATACCTGTTTCCTGGCTAATATCTTCAGTTTCCTTGCTACCTGTATCATTGATCAATGTATGATTTATGTAATGATTCATGATGAACTATGTAACTTACGAGTGCATCTCAGCAAAGATAGTCATGGTATTGACAGAAACACCAGTGAGATTTTGACTGATGCTTTACTTCATAATTTTACCATGATCTGCATTTAATCCAATAAATGAACTTGGAGTTGTGTTTGTGTTATTCAAGACACTGACTTACCTGGTTCTCTTAGAGCATCATGTAAGGTGCATGGCTGGAGCACGTTTCCATTCTTGCCATTCCAAATCAACCACCACATCATCCCAACTGACAAAGCTGACACACTTAGTGTCTTATTTCCACTCGGCTTCAAACAGCCCCAAAACCACTGTTATTCAGCATGCTATCCTAGGCATTTACTAAACATACCAAATCAAATTAAACTCTCTGATAAGCAAGTTTTTGCTCACTGAGTCAAGGCATTTGAACTTTTCTTTTTAAGCATTCAGTTTTCCTTTTTTGACCACTGCTTATTGCACTATCGGCCCCCCTGGGACCTACTCAGGAGGCTTATTTTCCTGTCACAACACACTAGAAATAAAAAGTCTGACTAGAGCCTATAGCCTGGAAGAGCAGCTTCCAAACATCCCTTTTGCCCATGTACAATAGTGAACAAGCAATGCTGCACTGGCAACATCAGTTCCCTCTGTTGGCTTGTGTCCTGGTTTCGGCAGGGATAGAGTTAATTTTCTTCCTAGTAGCTGGTACAGTGCTGTGTTTTGGATTTAGGATGAGAACAATGTTGATAACACACATTATTATTATTATTATTATTATTATTATTTCATTGTCATTTTATTTCAATTATTAAAATGCTTTTATCTCAACCCACGAGTTTTCTCACTTGTGCTCTTCCAATTCTCTCCCCCATCCCACCGGGTAGGGGGGAGTGAGCGAGCAGCTGCGTGGTGCTCAGTTGCCGACTGAGGTTAAACCATGACAGCTTGGGAGGGCAGCAGTTGTGCTTTCCTGTGGCCATGAGAAATAGCATAAAGTTTGGTAGCCATTGTGCTACTCAGTAACCACGTCAGAGAACGCAAATTGCATTATCATCTAAGGCAACAAGATCTGAATGCAGGAGGGAGGTACTGTAAAAACATTTACTCTCAGCAAAATTCCACCTGTAATTACAACTTACTCCCCCTCCACAAAAGGTATTCTATTTGGAAATAAATCTCCACCCAACAAAGTATACCTGCATCTTCTTCCTTGTACAAAGTGCTGCTTCTAAAATCAGTGCCCTCCCTTGCCTGTAACCCTCAGCTCAGGGTTCAGCTGTCTGTCATCCAGTACCCACGCTGGTGCAACCCAGTTGTGTGCTATTGACTCAGCTTTACTAAGAAGTTTGTTGTTTAGGTGTGGAAAAGCATACAAGTGAAGGCCATGCAAAATGAGAAAAGCAAAAACACAAACAGAGAAGTTATTGCCAGGGTGGAATAGTCAGCATAGCAAGGCTTCAGGAGGAGAAACACTTGCATGAGGAGGTATAAAATCTCAATTAAAAAAAAAAAAAGAATTGGAAGACAACAATTAGCAACATCGAGGCTGAGCCTCTTCTAGGGAGCAACAAAGACCAGCTCTTCTCCACCTGAGTGATGCCTGGCCAGCAGACTCATCAGGGCAGTAAGCATGTTAATTCTTAGCCTTGTAGCATGTTAATCCTGTCTCTCTGCTGTGTGTATTCAACAATAAGTAATTACTGGGAACTCCTAAATTGTGTGTACCCGGTTTGAAGGGTCACTTCATGTAAGAGCAAAAGTCGCCCAAAGAGGCGGGAAAACTTCCATGCCAAACCAAATGAAAGGTCTTCCCGTGCTAATTTTTGTGCATCCCTTCACTCATACCACACTGCAGGGTTCTGCAAAGCAATACCTCTGAGGCTCTCTGAGGAGCTACAGCACCATGTCCGCCAGCTGGTGAGAGGTGCAAAGGGTCAAACAGGCTGGTTTTGGTACCAAGCTACTCCTAGCCTCAGCTTTGCTTGGGAGATGATGCCAAAGAGCACACCTTCCAGTATAAGACATACTTGGGATGCAGGTGAAAAGGGTGAAAGAGAAGGAAACGAACCCATCCAGGAGGAAACACTCTTTAGAGCTCAGCTACTGCAAGCAACACTGGAAGCTGCTTCGTTTGTGCCTCCCTGTACTATTTTCATGGTAACCAGTGTCTGGCTCTCAAGTCAGGCTAACCCTTACAGAATCACAGAATTGTTCAGGCTAGAAGTGACCACTTGAGATCATCTGGTCCAACCCCCTGTGCAAGTAGGGTCAGCTAGTGCAGGTTGCACAGGGCCATGTCCAGTTGGGTTTTGAATGTCCGTCTCCACCAATGGAAACTACACAACCTCTCCAGGCAACCTGTGCCAGTGTTTGACCATCATCACAGTAAAAAAGTGTTTTCTTGTGTTCAGATTGAATTTCATGTTTTTAAATCTGTGCCCATTGCCTCTTGTCCCCTCACTGGGCACTACTGAGAAGAGTCTGGTTCCTTCTTCTTCGTTACATCCCATAAGGTATTTATGAACATAGATAAGATCCCCCTGAGCTTTCTTTTCTCCAGGCTGTAAGTCCCAACTCTCTCAGCCTCTCCTCATATGAAAGATGCTCCACTCCCTTAATCATCTTTGTGGCCCTGTTCAGAGGGAAGATATGGAAAACCATATCTTCCTTATACTGAAGAGCCCAGAACTGGACACAGCACTCCAGCCATGGTCTCATCAGGGCTGAGCAGAGAGGGACCTTCCTCAACCTGCTGGCAACACTCACCCTCAGGCAGCCCACGATGCTGTTGGTCTTCTTTGCTGTGAGGGTGTACTGCTGGCTCATGGGCAGCTTGTTGTCCACCAGGACCCCAAGGTCCTTCCCTGTAGGCCCAGTAGCCTTGTAGGCTTTCCAGCCCACTGTGTACTGATGCCTAGGGTTATTCCTCCCCAGACGCAGAACTTTGCATTTCCCCTTGTTGAACTTCACAAGGTTCCTCTCCTCCCAATTCTCCACTGTGTCCAGGTCCTTCTGAATGGCAGCACAATCCTCCAGCGTATCAGCCACTCCTCCCAGTTTTCTATTGTCTGCAAACTTGCTGAGGGTGCACCGTGTCCCAGTATCCTGGTCATTAATGAAGATGTTAAACAGTACTGGCCCCAGTATCGACCCTTGGGGTACACCACTAGTGACTTGACTCCAGTTGGACTTTGTGCCACTGATCACAACCCTCTAGGCCTGGCTGGGTTCACTTATCTAACTCACACTTTGTCAGCTTGTCCATGAGAATGTTATGGGAGACAGTATCAAAAGCTGTACTGAAGTCAAGGTAAACAACATCCACTGTTCTCCCCTCATCCATCAAGCTAGTTAACTCATTGTAGAAGGCTATCAGGTTGGTTAAGCATGATTTCCCCTTCATAAATCCATGATGACTACTCTCGATCAACTTCTTGTCCTTCATGTGCTTGGAAATGGTTTCCATGAGGATTTTCTCCATCACCTTCCCAGGGACTGAGGTCAGGTTGACGGGCCTGTAGTTCCCTGAATCATTTGAAGTCAGTTGTAACATTTGCCCTCTTCCAGTCTTCAGGAACTTTTTCCAGTCACCATGGCCTTTCAAAGATAATTGAGAGAAGCCTCGCAATAATATCAGCCAGGTTCCTCAGCACTTGTGGGTACAAGTCATCAGGCCCCATGGACTTACGTATGTTCTATTTGTTTAAATGCTCCTGAACCTGGCCTTCCTCTGCCAAGAGTAAGCCTTCCTCTTTCCAGCCT